AGATTATATGTAGTTTGATATGAATTAAAAGAAAAGGAGAAACATGAAGTAAAATCAATGAATTGTAAATAAAATCTTACCTTTTTTACTTTCCTGTCGATAAATAATTGGAGGCCCTGCATTAAGTCTACATGTTTCACCGTGGACATTGATATTATTCCTGTATCTAGGTCTGGGATGTAATAAAACGTTACCGAGATAAAATCAAGCAGAGTCTCTACACGGTTACTGGTCTCATCAATTGATTCTATGATGGATGGATTAATCGTTCCGCAAATGTTATCTTCTGTTGTTAATCGTCCTTGTGTCGTAAACCCGGACTTTAAATCTCTGTATTGTAGTTGTGTATCAGAACTTGGCAAGCAATTTTGGTTCCAGTATGCTTTGGAATTTTTGACAGAACTTATAGCGTTATTATATCCGCAGGCTGTCCATGCGCGTATGACATTCTTTTTTTTTCCATTGCATAGCAACGTATAAGAAATTTCATTGGTTGGTGGTAAATATTGGCGTCGGCTAAAGTAATTAGAGAATTCCTTTGACCCTTTGAATGAAAGAGAAGTGAGAGCCAGATTGAAACGGACTCCGAGATCACGTACAAGCCCAATATTTTTATCTGCATACTGTTTAATTGCCTGTAATGCGGGTGCACCATTAATTTGCAGTATATTGCAATCCTTATTCGTATGGTCAAAAAAGTCATCCAAAACTTTTATAGACTGTTGTCCATTAGAATCGACGACAGAATAGAGATCTATCCCTTGAAGAAAGACAAAATTTTTGTAGCAAAAAGGACGAAATTGAGTGTGAGCATCCTTTAACTGATCTAGTATGTCCGTTACGTTGAGCTGGGTAAATACGTAGGCGAATTAAATAAAAAAACATCTTTTAATGACATCAGTAACTCAACGCGACAATTACCGTGAAATCGTAATCAGTTTTGAATTCTCGCTTTAGTAACGCCTCAAGACTATTCACAACATCTATTGCATCGTACGTGTTGCCCGGATTTGGTTTTCCGCGAGCAGAGTCCAAAAACACATAATATCCGGCTAGTGTTTTTGCGATTGAATAAATAATCTACGTTTTTCAAAATAGCTTAGTAGTCAGATTATCGAGTAAAAGGGGTGCGCTTTCATTAGTAATGGCTCACCTCTTTTCCATTTTTTGGGTCATATGGAAATGAAGTAAGACATAATCGAACAACATCAATTGGCAAAGGAGTAAAAAAACCGGTGTCGCTTAAATTATATTTACTAAAATCGCAAGGAATTATTTTTTCTTTATTTAGAGTGACCATTAAAGGTGCTGCAGTGCCTCTCGGTAATCCTTCTAGAAAGAAGGAGAGAAGGATTGCGCTGTGCAATAATAAAATGAAAAGAGATCTCATTCTTCAGTTGGTAACAATTTCATGAGAGTAAAAATTAATGCAAGGGTGGAATCCAAAACTTCAAAGAAGAGAAAAGAGAACCATGTTTTTTATGTTTGAGTTGTGCGTAAATAAAGCTTTCTTTCTTTACTTTTATATCTCTAATAAAGGAGATTTCATTTCGGAGATGTCATTTTTAAATTAGCTTGCTCGCCATTTCTACTTTTACAGAATTGGAATAACGCCTAATAATCTTTATATCTCTGAAAAAAATATAGTACAGTACAATGTACTTACGTAAATGCTAATGTTGCATGTGTGATCTGAATGTATATGCACTCGAGGAATATCGATCCCTTTTATCTATTACGTAGTTACTAGTGGATCATTAATTATTTCATGAATGCACTTCATTACTATTCTAGCTAGTTTTTTTTAAAAAAAAAGAAAAAGAAAAATGCAATATATAGTATATTAGATATATTCATCGTTCATAATAATTGTACAGACGGGTGACACGAAATTGAGACGATTTTTATAACAAGAAAAAGTGAAACATATATAAATCTATTTTTTTAATCACCTCTTTTACACGATTTGGCATCGTATTTATATAACCTAAAATTTTATCAAACGCAATATTTTCCCACGCCGCAGTAACGGCCTCTTCCAAGTCAGATTTGATGCTCAAATTTCGGTTCTTATAGATCCAGACTTTAACCTCTCCTTTCCATTCATATGAGATTAGGTATGAACCAAATAATGTAAATCTTGTCCATTTACATATCTCCAAACTATAATTGATTTTTGTCCAGTTTTTATAGTTACCTGCATGCAATCTGAGTTATAAAATTCATCTTTATGACATCATATTAGATTCATTAGTCTATAAAACCTATTTCTAAACATATTTAGTTCAATTTTTATATGTTCTTGCTTATTTTAATTATTTTATATTATTTTTTTTATTAAACATAGGTTTTTTTCGTGCAATATAGAATTCAATTTTTTTAAAAGTTCACATTAAAGTACATGCAGACATGGGAACCTGAGTACTATATGAAATTTCTATGGCTAATAAATTTTTTGTCTTTTTTCTTATTGATGGATTTATTTTGATTTTATACAAAATTTGACATTGTAAAGGATTATTGATAAGTAATTGATAGAACCAATTAATTTTAATATATTAAAACAATTTTTAATCACTATTGCAGATTATTTAATAATAAAACAACTTTTATTAATGATTTCATTCATTTTTAAGTATTATTATTATATAATATTTTTTAGTTGTAAGGTTTTTTTTACAACTCATTCTTTATATATAACATTAATTTTTTTTAAACTATAACTGATATTAGATATATGACTTTTATTAATATATAGTTACTATCATCTATATTAATTATTTCATATATTCTATATATTTTTACATATATATAAATTAATAATAACCTATTATGACTTATCTAGATAAACTAGCTTATATTCAAAAAGTAGGTGATTCGGCTAGAAACTGAATGGTTAATACAAATTATTAACAATGGCTTCAGTTAGTTAGAATTGAGCTTCAAATTAAATTCATTAGAATAATCTAATTATATATATATAAAATAGAATTTTTATAATCTTTCTAATATATCCAAATTATATTATTTACTTAAATTTAGAAAAAATATATATTATCTTCTTTTTTACTACTTGTGATATTAGATTAATCCTAATTAACTGATTTTCAATTAAGCATAGTATCAGATTGAAATATTCTAAGCTAAAAGGGTCAGGTTTCAGAGTTTATCAGTATAGTTGAAGTTAAGTTTGTTTAAATAATTATTACAATCCTAAAAGTAAGGTTTTAAGATTTTATTTTTGTTTAGTTCAAGAAAAAAATCAAGTATTTATTGTGTAATAAAATCAAAAACCTTTCTTTATACAATTCTTATAGTAAATTATTTTTAGCCTAACAATTAATAAGAAAGCAAAAGTTTTATACTTATGCAATCTAATTATTTTTCATATATAGCTCACATATGGTATTGAACTCTAGACCTTATTATTGTGATCTGGAAGTATTTCACTATACTATTGACTCACAAATTAATAATTTTTTATTTTTTATTTATTTTAAATAAATAGTTAAATCAAAAAGCTAAAGCTTTTATTATTATAAACAATAATAAAGATACATATTTAATACTTTATTATTATAATATAAAATTTTCTTATATATACAATATATCAATTTTGTAATTATTTCAATTTTGTATTATCTTTCTATATATTTTAATCTATAATTAGTTTTAATCAAGTTTTATAAATTAAAAATAATTTGTATTATAATAAATTTATATCAAACTTACTATTAAATATATTAATAAATAGGATTATTACTTTAGATATATTATAAAAATATATATAATTTTAATGCTTTTTTTTTACAATTCAACTTTGATGAAATTGTTATTTATTATTATTTTTATTAAAGTTATTATTTTATATTATAATTTATTATCAATATTTCCTTAAATTTCATAATATAATTAATATTATATTATTTGAATAAATAAAATATGTTTATAGCAATCAAAATTATATAAAATTATATTAATTAATATATAATAAAGAGTATATATTGTTAACCTTAATTATTAGTTATATTTTCCTTTGATTATTATCTATAATCCTTGTCTATCGTATTACTGTAATACTATTTTTAGATCATGTGACACATGTAATGTAAGGTGTATCTTATTGGTTCATAGAGTAGATCCAATCATTAGGGCAAAGTAGTGGTTGACGTAGCATGCATTATTTAATTTTATTATTTAATTTTCATATCTTATCTATATTTAGTTAGCAGGTTATCCAAGTGAGCAGATCTGACATATTGGCCTAATTTGGCAAATCTGGCAGATTTGGTCACTTTGGTCACTT